TTAATGTTCTAGCAATTGCCCTCTTCATTTGGGGGGAGTATAAATGAACGAACAAGAGATCCAAACCATACTAAACATTAAAATGGTTAACGGATTAAAAAAACCATTAACAATTTCTCTATAAGCAAAAACCCACCAAAAGTATTTGATGTTCAAAATCCAAAAGATCAAAGATCACTTTAGTTGAGTCAAACTTTAGATCATCATACATCTCCGTAGTTGATCAAACATTTTGCCCTTTGTGTTAATACTTTCAGATTTGAATTTGAGGATAAATTTGATATTTTGTTGATTGTTTTAAATGAGTTACTTAAATGAATTGTAATTGAAATTTCATAGAGTGTTTAGCTGGATGTATTTATCTCTCTTTTAATTAATAATGAATTATAAATGAAATTTTATGGAGTGTTTAACTAGAACTCTCTCTCTCTCTCTCTTAATTAATATCGAACAAAATCATTGTTATTTGGTCATCTTTAAAGTAGGTTCAATTGTTACTATTTAATTTTTTTTAAAATGTGGATTTTGAGTGTGGTTCCACAATTTTGATTATGGTTCTTGGGGTTAGCTTTTCCATTGGTTTATAAGTAGTTTATGTTCAATCTCAAGATATCTGAGAATGTCTCATCCGAAATATCCATTTCAAATAGCCAATTTTTTTCTAAAAAAATTGCTAGACAGAGTTTAAAAAACTGATTTCTATTATGAGTATCTTAATATCAACAAACAAAGAAAAATACTTAGGTGCCCTGATTATTCAAGGCATAATTGATAAGAAGGCTTTGATAACATCACAACTAAAATTAATAAGAAAATTTAGGGTTGGAAATTGAAAATTGTTTTTAAAGATGAAAGAGTGATCGTTATGAAATAAGTTTTGAATGTGGTTCTTTTATTTACAAGGCGGCAACTAGCTAGTTGGTAAGGTCTCTTGGATCAAATCCCACCTGCACCTAGGTTAGGGGTTATGGGTTTGGGGAATGGGCCACCCCCGTTGTGTAGCCTCATGGAGTAAAAAAAAAAAGAAAAAAAGAAAATGCAACTCTTCTATTTCAAATGATGTTCAAATGAACATACCCCCAAAAAGATTGATAAAATTCAAAGTCAATTCTTTTGAGGCCCAAGAGAAAGCAAATGAGCAATTGTAGGACAAGTTAGAAAAGGCTTTACAAATTAATGACTTATTTTTGCGAAAATCAATAAAAATCCCTAGAGTTTCTAGAAAATCTATAAGAAGTATTCTTCCTCTTTGTGCTAATGCTTTCGTATTTGAATTTGAGGGAAAATCAAGTATTTTGTTGATTGTTTAAATGATATCAAAATAAGACAAATTGAGCCCTCCATTGTTAACTTCTTACTGAATTGTATAATAGGATAAAAATGAAATTCTTTTATGCTTCTTAAATAACTACACAACATGTTTAATTTTTTTTTTTTTTTTGATCTCACAATGTGTCTAAATAGACATCTACAAATCACAAAATTTAATGAGTTGTAATTGAAATTACATAGAGTATTTAGCTAAACAAATTTAATTACTCTAGACACTTGGAGATACATGTTGATTTGTAGATGAATGACAAATTACTTGGAATCTATAAGAAGTGGCAATAGATCTTGAAGGCTTTTGGACTTTTGCTTATACATCTCTCTCTCTCTCTCTCTATCTATCTATCTATCTATCTATCTATCTATCTATCTATCTATCTCTCTCTCTATCTATCTATCTATCTATCTCTCTCTCTATCTATCTATCTATCTATCTATCTATCTATCTATCTATCTATCTCTCTCTCTCTATCTACCTATCTATCTATTGCGAAGATATAAATTGTAAATTGAATACTATTTTTCACCTCATTCTATTCTCTTTCATTAAGTCTCATATTTAAGATTAACTTCCATTCTCTCTCAATGAACCATATGTTTAATATATTTTCTGACCATTTACTTGGTGGGTTGTGTGATCAACCCATCACCCAACCCGCCCATTTAAATGGGTTGGGTTGGGTTGGGTTGTGGATAACCTTTGGTTTAACCATTACAGATAAAAGTATTAATTCCTTAGCTTTTTTTTTTAATTTTCTTCATTTGAATTAAATAATTTATAATTAATGCATTAATTTTCTATTAATTATTGACTAAATTTAGTTTTGTCTTGAATAAACACACTTCACCCAACATAAATCCAAATCAATTTGACCCAAATTCGAACTAGTTCAACGTGGCCTGACCCGATCCAACATATACCGGTTCGGGTCAACCCGAATCCGAAATAGACCCCGGGTGGGATGGTTCGATACCGCTTGCTCTACCTAGATTGGGTCGACCGATCCAACCAATATTCAAAAAGTCTGACCCAACCCAGCACAAGCCGATCCAGTTCGACCCGAATTCGAAAAGACCCTAGGCGGGATGGTTCAGTACCGCTAACTTTGCCTAGTTTGGGTTGTCTGGTCCAACCAGTATTCACACAGTCCGACCCGACCCGGTACAAGTCGATTTGGGTCGATCCGAATCCAAAACAATTTTGGGTGGGATGGTTTGGTGTCCTCGTGCTTTGCCTGGTCTGGACCATCTCTACCCGATCAATATCCGCTACGTTGACCCATTCTAGGTCAGTCGGTTTGGTCCCAAACCCATGCACAAACATGATATGGTCCGGTCCAAGTCAATCTACCACTAACTGAACCGGTCCGGTCCGACCAGACTGATCCAGATCTAAACGGTTCAACCACCCTTGATGTGATTACCTCGAAGATAATCCAATTAGATAGTTCAAGTTGGTTTGACCGATTTGAACCCAAGTGGTTCCGTCAAACTCAAAATCCGAACATAATCAAATGGCTTCGCCACTTGTGTAAAAATAACATTCATGTAATGTGATTTGAACCTTCACCACTTGTGTAAATAGTAACTACAATTACCACCAAGCTATGACCAAATTATTTGTTAAGAGAGTTAGTTTATTTTTTAAGGCCATAAATATAAGATTAATGGGTTTGAATGGGTTGGATTGGGTTAAAGTGGGTTTAGTTGAACCCAACCCATTTAATTTTATATAACTAGGTCATTAATGGGTTAGCAAGTTAGATGGATTGGATTGAAGCTCAACCAAATCAAACCCAACCCAACCCGCCAAATTGCCACCGCTATTTGCAAATAACAATTTTAATAGTAGAAAAGCTTATGTATTCAAAATTGACTTGGAAACAAAACTGGTTTTTATGTATGATAAATAAGAAGAATTTAGAATTTTATGAATAATAGAAATAGAATACAAAATGTAAAATTTTCTTAGCAATGAAACCACTACCATGTTTGTTAAATGATGGAAATGGAATACAAAAATTATAAAAAAAAAATAAATAATGTGTATTCCATCACCCTACTAAACAAATCAAATGATTCAATAGTTTGATTAACTAGGCCATCATATTATTGGTCAAGTCAATGATTTTTTACAAATAAACAAATTGGTGAAAAATGAACCTAAAATTCTAGTCAAATGACTATTCAATTAATCTGATCGATCTCTAAGCAAATAATGATTCAATTTGCACAAAAAGTATAAATATAAGCTATAGAATAAAAAGATTTGATACAAATCTTTAAATTGAAAAATAATAAATCACCAATATATATAATTATTGTCATCATTTGAAATTACCATATACAAAACACAAGCACATTTACTAATATAATTATTAGAGAGCCTGAAATAAGGAATAATTAACTTAGCATGTCTATTAATGAATTTGATGAGGAATGAGAGTAGAAGTATGAGGTGTGACGATTAGTTGAAGTGGGCGAAGTGAGTGTTGGCCTGTTGGGAAGGGTTAGTTTGAAGAGATGGATTAATGTTTACCTATAAAAACATTCTCTAACTTTGTGATTAATAGATCTCATACACATATCTAGGACTTCAGACCACCTGTCCTACTGAGTAATGACACGTTTCATTACGTGTGGACCAAAGTGGGACCTAGTTTCAGTTAAGGTGGTAGTAATTAATTGTTTTAGCTACGTGGGTCCATCAGGTTGCTTCTGACTGCCAAGTAGCGTTTAATTTTCTTCCGCTACTTGAATGTCTCAACTCGGTGATTTCTGATATGCCTAATGGACTCAGGTTGAAAATCAGTGCCATGTGTTAGAATCCTGATAGGTGTATAATTCTGATCGTATTAATTTTTATCATATCAAAAAGATATGGTATTTGAAAATTTTTTGACCATGGTATCATAAACGTAATAGCTAATCAGGTGTTATGGGGTGAACTTTGATTGATCAAAAGACTCAAAATTCTTCTTCTTATATTGTGTCTTTCTGCATCATAAATTTTTCCAAATTCAAAACAAATACTATTCGGCTGTGTTTGATTTGAAAGAAAATGTAAAAAAAGAGAAACCAACACGACCTCAAACACAGGCACAGCAATCGTTAATTTGCCCATGTTTTATTGGATAATGGCGCAAACTGCTTTCCCAGCATATACAAACTTGAGAGTTCAGAGTTCAGACCATTTTCGTATATAGGCAAACTCATTAACAGAAATTGGGAAAATCTATGATGCCGGAAAGAGCGTCGGATCATCTCCACGTTAGCCCCACTTAATCCTATACATATTCCAACTACACGTGTCATCCGTGTCGTGACAGTGGGACCCACCTCAAACTTATCTTTGTAGCCTTGGTAATGGTTCCGATGAGAAGTTAAGCAAAGCATCCAATGTTAGTCTACCACACAAGACAACCATCCAATGGAAGAGTCAAAGACGTATATCTAAATCTAATCACCCCTTCAACGACCCAAACTATCAGAGGCGTTTGTTATCATCTCATCAAGTCAACCTTTAAATATGAGAAATATTTCATTCAACCATCCCCGTCCTGTTTTTTTGATGCACGCTATCCCCGTGCACTTTTGATCGATATTAAAACAAAACAAGCCCACAGTGAATACACTAATTGACGGCTGAATATAATCAAGGACAATTTCAATTAGAAATTTCTCTGATAACTCTTTTCCACATTTAAATGCAACGCAAATATATTCATTTAAAGTACATCTCAGTGTAACATTGATCATAGTCTAAAATCTAAATCAAAACCCTCCAGATTCCAGAAAGAAAAAGGAACGAGCTTAACTAAATTATACAAAATTTGGATTAAAAAGAAAAAAGCGAAAAAGCAAAACAAGTCACCATGAATATACAATCTCCGTTACACAGACATTTTGTTATTTACATTTTTTTTTTCAAAGCTCTCCCTTTTTCAGTTTTTCTTCCCCTTCATTTTTATCATCCTTTTCCGTCTATTTATGCGAGACTCCACTGGTCTGACAATCTGATGTCCTTGCCGCGCTGTTGCCGGATCTCGGTTGCCGTAGTAGACCAATAAGTGCCTCAGCCTGTACACGACAAAAAGCCGCCAAGAAAAACAAGACAAAGGTTTTTTATCAAATATTTATTCATATTTTTTCACTCAACCTCCCTTCGAGGGGGAAGACAAAAAAGACGACGGAAAACCGGAAATCAGTAACGGTAAACCAGAAATGGATGAAATAATTGTTTCACCAAGACACCAACCTTCTGCTTGGCGCGAGTCGTGCCGGACTGAGACAAAGCTACTAACGGCGGAATTGCCCCTTCGCGACTTACCATGGTTCGGTAAACCAAATTATCCTCGCAGATCTGCAAAAGAACAGCCGTCGCGACTTCTTTCTGTCTCTGTGTCCCTACCTCCACGATCTCCACCAGTACGGGGATACCGCCTTCATCGACCAAAGCAGTTTTCGCATCCGGTACAGAAATCAGGATGCTCAACACAAAAGCCGCTTTATCTACCATACCGGACTCGAGACCCGCCATTAATTCAACAAGCGGTTTCATTATCCCTGCTTGAATAGCTCTAACTTTGTTCTCCTTCACCGAACACAGCGAATAAAGAGCCGTTAATGCGTCCTTTTTCCCGCGAGAACCGCCGTTCTCCAATAGGTATACTAGAAGTGGGACGGCGCCGGACCGTCCAATTATAATCTTGTTCTCCTCGATCTGCGAGAGGCGGAGCAGGGCACAGGCGGCGTTCTCCTTTGCGGTTGCTGTTCCGGTCTTGAGAGCTCTCACCAGAGGCTTAATTGCTCCCGAGGAGGTGATTAGGTCCTTGTTTTCGTCGCATAAGGAGAGGTTCAGAATCGCGGTGACACCGTTCTCTTGAAGCTGAGCATCGGAAGAGGAGATAAGAGATATAAGAGGCCTTACAGCCCCAGCACGAGCAATCTTGAGGCGGTTTTCCTGTTTGTTCTTGGCGAGGAGTCTAAGCTCCATGGCCGCCTGCCTCTGCACGTCTAGCGAGCCCGATTCGAGATCGGAGACATGCTGACGAATCAGATCATCGGAATTATCAGAAGCGCAAGCCACCAGGAGGCGGCGGCTATGCGCGGAGGTGGTCGGGAATTCACCTGATCGATCGCTGTTGCAGTCACTGAAAGCTGAAGATGAATCATCACCGATGCTCAGATCACCAAAGCTCCGTCCTAGGTAAGTAAAATTCGAGGGAATTCCGGCTTCCATCACCAGAGCTCTTCTACTTCATCAAATGTTCGGCCGGCTACAGAGAATTCGAGAATCGGGATTCCTTCAGCGTAAAATGAAATTGAAGATTCTTTAGAGCGACCTATTCAAGCAAAGACGCTTCTGTCGCCCAGCAGTTGGAAAGGGAGATAATTGAGTGCGAGAGAGCAAAGAGCGAAGGGGAAGAAGGAAAATAAAATATAGTCGGAATAGCCTCGAGGTTTGAGTTAGACACGTGCATAGGGCTGACCGCAGAGAATCTCAGTTGTATGTGCTCGTGCGAAGCCCCTCTCAACTTTCAAGCCTAAACGCGTGTGAACTGTGGAGAAGGTTTGCCACTTTGCTTTTCGAGAAAGAAAGAGAACAGACTCGGCCCCGTCTCTCGTGAATTGGGACTCCCTGGGAAATAATATTATTTTATAATAAGAAGAGTGGCCTATTGGCCTATAACAACGTTTTATGTCTAATCATAGGCTTTGCATCTAAGGTGTACGAGTATTCGAGACTCCAACGTAGCACTGTAACGTTCCCGTATAAACCCCAAAACCCTACATATATATTACTGTTGCCTGTTAGTATACAATAAAAATAAATTCATTAGAAATATTATTTAATATTATTGTTAGGTTTTATTTATTTTTTAATAATCTTGTTAGGTAAAGTAAATTGGAGATGTCATGTGCTAATGTGCTCAACAGGGAGTGTGGTAATTGGTATGGTGTGGTATGGTTAGTAAGATACACTAAGAAACGTTTACATTGCACTTCCATAATCAATACAGTTCTCTATTGTTAATTAATTAATTGAAAAGGCATTCTTTCTAAGGCTTAAGAATACCAAAAAAGGAAGATTAAAAAAAGGAGGGCATCAAAAAGAAATATTGGGAGAATATGCGCGAACGATCTAAAAGTTGCCAGGTGGAAATTTGGGAAGAAGAAAGTGACTCACTGACTAGGGAAAATCTTATCAATTATTACTCCGGTTACTGGTGTAAGGTAACGGGGAGGGAACCATTGAGGTTGGACTTGCGGTGATGAACCCCCAGATCCACGTGAGACAACAATAAACTAGAGACTTGTGGCAGTCCATTTAATTCTGACCTAGTTGTTCTAATCGTAATATTCGCAAATAGACAAGCAAACACACAAAGCGGGCCGGTTCAATGGCCCGGTTCTGGATGGGTCTGAATGGGGCTGGATGAGATGTGGGTCCATATAGACAATGGACAGCACCAACTTGATCAGACGCGGTCCATAAAGACCGAGGAGGAAATATAAAAGATAAGGTGAGTCGCTTTGTAATATGCACCATATAGATCATGTATGGCTTGACCAAATTAGTTTATCTGAATACTAAATTTTGAAAACACTTGTACGGGGCCCATTGGGGCTTCTATTCTATTCTCTCGTTCTAGTGAGTAGTGATGGACCCAGTTGGGGTTCCGTTGTTTACTAAAAAAAAGACCAGTGCAAAAACTCAAAACCGATGTGGGAATTTGGATTAACAAATACTCAGAGAGCAACAAAACGAGTACAGTTATGAGTTGGGTCTGGAATCCCACCTGGCACAACCACCATGTACACACTGAGGTAACGAGTATAAAATAAAATTAATTTGCTGTTATGTGTTAAATGAATAGCAAATAATTTTGAGAAATGTTTTAGAAAAGCTTAAAAAGAGAATACAGTAATTCCAAGTGCAATATAGTAAAGCCTTATTTAGGTTAATCTCCTTTTGCATTGTATGGACCTCTTTCTGTCTTAACTTGCCATGAAAATTGATGGTGCGTAATCCGGCCGGTCTTAGCTGTTAACGACCTTGCCTCTGAACTGAGCAGCAGGGAACCTGAAACGGAGAAGATGAGGAAGCTCCGGGGGGAATCCGGTGTAAAGGCTCCGAAGCTCAAGTTGGAATCCTTCAAAGGCGAGATAAAACTAGATAGCGCAAAGTTTGCATACCATGTTCTGGGGGGGTAGAGAGCCTTTTATAACCACCTCGCACATTCACTCCTAGGCTTCTGTCAAGTCGGGTATGATTACTTCCGTGCTTCTACCAGTTCGGGTGTCATCACCTCTACTGGGGCAGAACCGCCACTGCTCTTTTTGTCGGAGCCGTCTCTGTAACTGGAGATGGCGGTGGCAGGTGACGGTGGCAGGTG